ATTTTTGATTCTTTTATTCGTTTAAGTTTTATCCCTCCTAGAATCAATTGATGAAAAATACAACCACCACTTTCAGTGGTATGCAGCTACTTGCTAAGAAGTACTGGATGCATTCCCTAAAACGTGTGAAGTTGGGGGCTGAAGAATCCGACAAAGCCGTATTTGAGATAGCTATTCTTCTCCCTTCAAATTGCTGTTTCACGGTGTCCCAGAGGCAATAGCCCGGTGGAGCTATGTAGGGACATACGGTGAATGGGTATCGTAGTACAGAGCCTTTCATTGTGCTAGTACTGCAATGTAAGTCGGCCTCTCATCTGAAAGAAAGCGACTTTGGAACCTCGAAAGCCTATCACCTGCTGCGGCCAAACTTGGGAGCTGTTCGCTTATGCTCGTATGTATATAGCAACGCGGTGTGAGAAAATTAGCCAACCCAACGAACCGAGAGTACTATCTTCCAGACAAACCTGGGGCATTGGTTGAGCTGATGGGCCGCTACTCGTACCGTGTAATGTTGTCATAGCTTACTCATGACTTTTATCCACTGGACATAAACTAAAGAAAGTCTTCCTGCGTTCACAGTTCCGCAAATAGTCACGCGTGATCCTCGGTCGTGGTCAGTCAAGGCGTACGGTGTCATCGAGAGCATTCCGCTTAGATGGCAAGTGATGGTGGATCGACTGCGCCCAAGTGTCTGTTACACTTCTCTGAGGGTAGCATCCGAATGCGGTCCCAATAACGGCGCCAGGGGACCTTAGCGAAAGTGGTCGGAAATCCGTAATAAAATGATCTTCACAGCTTGTATCGTCTTTGTGAGTGAGTGAAACAGAAGCTCAATGCCCCATTAGAATAGTCGGGGCCAAACCAGCGCTTACCTCCTCCACGGTCCGCTTTGCAAGGTTTTTTTTTTCGCAAAGCAAAATTGTTCGTAAATGTGGCGTATCTGTTACGATACTTTTAAGCATTACTCAACATGCCAACATCACAACGATACCGACTTGAATCGATAACACTCAAATTTGAACAAAAATTAGCCAGAAATTATGGTATAACTCGATAAATGCAGTTTCCAATCTCCACTGAAGGGCTGCGCATTTGTTACCAATGGAAACGAATGCATTTAGCCTAATCTAAAACTTACCTCAAAGTATAACCGTTCCTCTTTTGCAAGGCGCAGGTGCTTTTTCGCAACCAGACTCTCCAATCGTTCAGCGCTACAGCATTCGGAAGAGATTTGGTGATCCGCTAACTCAGCGGTTTCCTTTTGGGAAAGCTTCCGCCACCGTGGCACCTCGATGTCCTAACAAGCAATTTTGAATAAATTGTTGCAATTCTTCTCGAAGTGGCGAAAATATGCAGCAGTGACTCACTGAATACTTCGGCATCTCCAATTTTACCTTGTAGTAAGAATCCAGGCTTTCATCCGACTCGGATTCCGAATCCACCCCGAGCAAGCGCCTCGCCCTTCGTCGTTGCTGGAAAAATGGAATGGTGAATGCGCATTAAATCCATGACTTTTCTCTGCTCACTTACTCAGCAGGAATTGAACAATGGCTTCTCAATATAACTAATATCGAAGATGAAAAACCTTCCCGTGAAGCTTATTCCCCATGAGTATTTTACAATTGTTTCTACTCTTTTCAACAGAAGAAACCCACACTTAGACATCTTTTCGACAATTATATTCAATTTACTTCTTAGTAATTGTTTCCTAAATACTTTTACCAGTTCGGCACCACTCACTAACGTATATATAACATGAGGCTTCAGCGATATGGGACAACGGGAAATTTAAATCCACCAACGCTAGCGCACATCCCGTCAACATAACCTTTTGATAGCTACTCTTCCATTAGCCTCTACCTGCTCTTCCCCACCTCTACGTTACCATAAAACAGCACTAACATCAGGTTTCAGCTTCTACTCCCACTTAAAAAAAACGATAAGCGAAGGGAGCTCCTGCAAAAGTGGAAAAGTCCCCTGCCCTTTCATTTCCATTGGAATTGGTCTAGCATGTCAACTAAGAAAATATGAACGGATACATCATACCTTCTTCTTATTTCTAGCTCTTCGGATCTCATGCCTTCGCTTCTCGCTGTATCCTCCGATTTTATACGACTGAAACTATTCATTCACTTTCAGTTACTCTAGACAGTTATCGAAAAGACATGATCATGAGTCCCATGTACCGGAGGAGAGCGACTACCTGCAACCGCGCGCGAACGCGACGCTTACGGGACATGAGGACACGAGGAAATAACGAGAAATTTTGATCTCATTGGAAGACACCCATGCAACAATGTCAACCATCTTCAACGAGGTCAAAACAAACATTGCGAATCACCTTGTCTTTTCGTTCCTCTTCACTTTCCTCCAGGAAGATGTGTCGGTTGATGAAACAGAACTTCGTTCAGTTAGCCGTGCTCTCTTGGACTTCGATACATGTTGCGGGCGTTCGACTTC